TTATCCCTCACCAGCCTGATCTGTCCCTCTAATCTAGCAAATGCCCTTGTTCTGGTGAGAGACCAGACTTGGAGTCAGAATGCCTGGGTTGGGCCTCTGCCTGGGTAGTATGACAGCTCTGGGCTTGGCATTCGCAGCCGAAAGAGGAGATGAAACAGGTTCCATCAGGCAAGCACCACTTCCCACTGCTCTCACAGAACGTATGTTTTAGATCTGCGCCTGGTACCTTGCCCACAAAACAGTGATACAGGTGATAACTGCCACATCTGGGCTGGCTTCTCCCACCCTGTACAGGAGTCTGACCATTGAGTGTGTCCACAGAGTGCATCCAGAGCCTTGTAGCTTTGATGCCCTGAATAAACAGTGTGTACATGCTGATATACATGAACTGACATGCATGCCCACCCTGCAGGGCAGCGCTCGCCATTAAACGACTTCCAGGTTCTCCGGGGTACGGAGCTGCAACACCTGCTACATGCAGTGGAACCCCGGCCTTGGCAAGAGGATGTGGCAGATGCCGAGGAGTGTGCAGATCATTGTGGGGCCCTACTGGACTGCAGGTAAGTGGCAATAGGGCCTAGATAAGACTGGGGGCAGAGGATAAGACTGGGCCTGGGGTGACCCTGTGTCTCCTCGCCTCAGGGCTTTCCACTACAATGTGAGCAGCCATGGTTGCCAGCTGCTGCCATGGACCCAGGACTCACCCAACACGTGGCTGCAGCATTCAGGGCGCTTCGATCTCTTCCAAAAGAAAGGTAAGTGCGAATAAGGGTGGCCTGGGATAGGGGTCCTGGGGCCTCAGGCCTTGTTGATGTGGGTCTATTGCTCCCAGACTATGTGCGGACCTGCATCGTGGACAATGGGGTCAAGTACCGGGGCACCGTGGCCATCACCATGGGTGGCCTAACCTGCCAGCGCTGGAGCCACAGGCTCCCCAATGATCACAAGTGAGACAGACACCTCCTCTCTGTCCCTGCCAGTGGGCACCTGCCCCCAGCACACAGTATATTGCCCCTCTCTGCACCCAGGTACATGCCCACACTCCAGAATGGCTTGGAAGAGAACTTCTGCCGCAACCCAGATGGGGATCCTAGAGGTCCCTGGTGCTACACGACAGACCCTTCTGTGCGTTTTCAGAGCTGTGGCATCAAGTCCTGCCTGGAGGGTAAGCGGCTAGGGGTCCAGCCTGGGCGGGAGGAGCGTTCCTACGCCCGCCCATAAACCCACTGCCCTGTGTCTCCAGCCGCTTGCGTCTGGTGCAATGGCGAGGATTACCGAGGCGCAGTGGACCGCACCGAGTCAGGACGGGAGTGTCAGCGCTGGGACCTGCAGCACCCGCATCCGCACCGCTTTCAGCCGAGCAAGTACGTGCGGCCGGGCTCGGT